GAAATTTAAACAAAAGAAACAATTTGAAAAATTGACAAACAAGAGTTGGTTCTTTGAAAAAGTAATTAAAATTGATAAAGCCTTAGTCACCTTAATGAAGAGAAGGAGAGAGAAAACTCAAATTACTAACATCTGTAATGAAAAATGAAATATCACAATGGACACTACACAAATACAGAAGACAACTAGAAATTATTTTGAAAATTTATACTCAAATAAAATAGAAAATATCAAACACATTGACAAATTTCTACAATCATATGATTTGCCCAAACTCAATCAAGATGATATACACAAGTTAAACAGATCAATTTCAAACCATGAAATAGAAGACGCCATCAGAAGCCTACCAACCAAGAAAAGCCCAGTATCAGATGGATACACAGCTGAATTCTACAAGACCTTCAAAGAAAAATTAATACCAATACTCCTCAAATTATTTCATGAAAGAAAAAGAGGAAACACTTCCAAACTCATTCTACGCAGCCAATATCATTGTGATTCCAAAAACAGACAAAGACACATCAAAGAAAGAAAACTTCAGACCAGTTTCTCTAATGAACATAGATGCAAAACTTCTCAATAAAATTCTGGCAAATCGAATATAAAAACACATCAAAAAATGATGCACCACAATCAAGTGTGATTCATCCCAGGGATGCAAAGTTGATTCAACATACAGAAATCAATAAATGTAGTTCATCACATCACAGACTTTAAATAAGAACCATATGATCATATCAATAGATGCAGAAAAAGCACTAGACAAAATACAATACCTCTTCATGTTCAAAACACTAGAAAAACTAGGGATAATGGGAACATATCTCAACATGGTAAAAGCTATCTATGCTAAGCCCCAAGCCAATATCCTTCAAAATGGAGAAACATTGAAAGCATTCCCTCTAAAAACTGGACAAGACAGGGATGCCCTCTTTCACCACTTATATTTAACATAGTTCTTAAAACTCTAGCCAGAGCAATTGGACAAATGAAAGAAAAGCCTACAGATACAAAAAGAAGGACTCCAATTATCACTATTTGCTGATGATACGATTGTATATCTAGAAGACCCAAAAAATTCCACAAGAAAACTAATAGAACTAATAAATGAATTTAGCGAAGTATTAAGATACAAAATCAATACCCATAAATCAAAGGCATTTCTATACATCAGCAACAAATCCTCTGAAAGAGAAACTAGGAAAACTACCCAATTTAAAATAGCTTCAAAGAAAAAAAATACCTTGGAATCAATTTAACAAAATAGATCTCCATAATGAAAATTACAGAACACTAAAGAAATTAAAGAAGATCTTAGAAGATAGAAAGATCTCACTTGTTCTTGGATAGGCAGAATTAATATTGTCAAAATGACTGTACTACCAAAAGCACTATACAGATTTAATGCAAATCCAAGTAAAATCCCAATAACATTCCTCATATAAAGAGAAAGAGCAGTCATGAAATTCATCTGGAAAAATAAGAGACCCAGAATAGCTAAAGCAATCCTTAGCAAAAAGTATGAAGCATGCAGCATCACCTTAAACTATACTTGAGAGAAATAGCATGGTATTGGTACCAAAATAGATTTGTAGGCCAATGGTACAGAATAGAGGACACAGAGACTAACCCACACAATTACAGTTATCTCATATTAGACAAAGGTTCCAAAAACATACATTAGAAAAAAGATTGCCTCTTCCCCAAATGATGCTGGGAAAACTGGATATCCATATGCAACAACATGAAATTAAACCCCTATCTCTCACCATGCATAAAACTCAACTCAAAGTGGATCAAGGATCTAGGAATTAAACCAGAAACCCTGCACCTAATAGAAGAAAAAGTAGGCGTAAATCTTCATCATGTCAGATTAGGCCCCAACTTCCTTAATAAGACTCCTATACTGAAAGAAATAAAATCCAGAATCAATAAATGGGATGGATTAAAACAGAAAAGCTTCTTAGCAAAAGATACAATCTGTGAGGTGAACAGAGTGCCTATAGAATGGGAGCAAATTTTTACCACATGTACATCAGACAGAGCACTAATCTTTGGGATATATAAAGAACTCAAAAATCTTAACACTGAAAAAACAAATAACCCAGTCAATAAATTGGCTACGGAACTGAACAGATACTTCACAGAGAATAATATACAATCAATCAATAAATACATGAAAAAATATTCAACATCTCTAGCAATCAGAGAAATGCAAATCAAAACTACTCTAAGATTTTATCTCTCTCCAGTCAGAATGGCAGCTATTAAGAATACAAGCAACAATAAGTGTTGGTGAGGATGTGGGGAAAAAGGAACACTCAACATTGCTGGTGGAACTGCAAATTGATGCAGCCAATATGGAAAGCAGTACAGAGACTCTTTGGAAAACTTGGAATGGAACCACCATTTGACCCATCTATCCCACTCCTTGGTTTAGACCCAAAGCACTTAAAAGCAGCATACTATTGTGATGTAGCCACATCAGTGTTTATAGCTGCACAATTCAGGACAGGTAAATTGCGGAACCAACCTAGATACCTTTTAGTAGAGAATGGATACAGAAAATGTGGTAAATGAATTATTATTTAGCATTTAAAGAGAATAAAATCATGGCGTTTGCAGGTAAATGGATGGAGTTGGAGAATATTATGCTAAGAGAAGTAAGCCAATTCCCAAAAACCAAATGCCGAATGTTTTCTCTGCTCCGAGGATGCTGATCCATAATGGGGATGAGGGTGCATAGGAGGAATGGATGAAATTTAGATAGGGCAAAGGGGAGTAAGTGGAAGGGAGGTGGCATGGGTGTAGGAAAGACGGTAGAATGAAATGGACAACATTATCCAAATATATGTATGAGTACATGAATGGTGTGATTCTACTTTGTGTACAACCATAGACATGAAAACTTGTGCTATATATTATGTGTACTATGAATTAAATGCATTCTACTATCATGTATAACAAATTAGAATAATTAAATAAATTTTTAAAAAGATATAAAAAGAAAATAAGCTGATGTAACACAAATTATAAATTGTAAATAAAGTAATTAAAAACAGAATGTATAGATCAATGGTCTCCCAGATACACCACATTAAAATTTTTGAGGTTAAAATTACTGCAGAAATGCTTCATGATATAAAATATGGTCATAAACCATGTGTTGAAGTATACTTGAACTATGTTTTGAGAAAGTCTTGCCCTCAATCATGGGTCATTCATGTGTGTGTGTGTGTCTGAGTGTGTGTATGCAGCTTCCTAATCAGGTACACATTTTAATTTGTTTTCTAACTTTTGGAGATGTCAACCCTATAACTACTAACTCATGTTATGTTTGAACTTACTAATAACATTAATTTGTAAACTAAGTAATTCTCAAGAGAAAATGTCATGAAATTGCAGTGAATAATATTTCTAACTTATGGCTTAAGGAATACGTGATCCATTTTCATCTGTAGATCAGCGTTCTCAAATGCAAGCATACAGAACTTTAAGAAAAACACTCTCAAAATTCTGGAGAATATTTGACATCTTCCTCCACCTCCACCCTACAATGCCCAGAGATCCTGAAATACTCCTAAAATAGAGATCATCATATGCTTTCCCCACATTTACTTTAACATTTTTCATTTTTAACCTTCATTTTTAGCCTGAAATTCGAAATCAAATAAAAATAAACTTTAAATGTTTAAGCCTATCAGTATACATGTTTTTAATGAAACAATATGAATGTTTGTAAAACTTAAAAACTACTACACAATATAGTCTGTATCTTACGTCTATTTATCCTTTTGAATGGTATAGTAATTTATTTCAAATCAAGACTCTCAAATACTGGAGTACACATTTTCTTTTTTGCTAATATAATTATCCATAAAGACTATAATTTTTTTTTACAAAACCAACATTAAATAATTAAAAAATAGTAAAATTTACCCTTATGTTTTAGTAGTGCTACATCCCTTGGAGGGAGACTGAGTAACCTGCAGGAGAGCAACAATTTAAAAATGTGTTGAAATCAGCATGAATTCATATGTAGGTATTTCAATCACATGAATATTTTTGGCTAAGAACTAAATTCTATAGAGCAAAAAGAAGGAGATTCTTCAGTAAGCATTTTTTTTTCTTTAAAATGTACTGCATTTCTTTTATTTGCTCCTGATTTTTATTACAAATGATGGTAAAGTAAAAGAGATGAAGGGCTGGGGTTGTGGCTCAGAGGCAGAGCGCTCGCCTACCATGCATGAGGCACTGGGTTTGATCCTTAACACCACATAAAAATAAAATAAAGTTACTGTGTCCACCTATAACTAAAAAATATATATTTAAAAAAAGAGATGAAATAGGTATACTAAATCAAGGAGGAAAACTTCAAGATAGTGTCTACCACTTAAAATATCTGTCGCAGGAATGGGGATGTATCTTAGTGGTAGTGTGCTTAGTTATCATGTCCAACGAAAACCCTGGTTTTGATTCCCAGCACCACAAAAAACAAACAAACAGCAGCAACAACAACAACAAAACACTTAAAGTCTATCTAAATTTTTAATTATAAATTATTTAGGAACTGAGGCTGAGGTGGTGGCTCAGTGATAGAGCACTTGCCTAGCATTTGTAACGCCCTGGATTCAATCCTCAACGCCACATAAAAATAAATAAAATAAAAACTACAACTAAAAAATAAATATTAAAAAAAATTATTTAGGAACAGAAAAAGGTAAATCTGACTTTGTAAATGTACACACTTATTCCACAGGGGATATATAATGTATTTATAATTTGGATATGATTATTCTATTATTTTGATTATTATTAGATATAATTATTCTATTTTTTTGTGTCTTTTTTTTTTTTTTGTGGTGCTAAGGATTGAACCCAGGGCCTTCTACATGATTAAGCACATGCGCTACCACTGAGCTATACTCCTAGTTCCTCAATCACATTCTTAAAATACAAATACTTTAAAACTATAGGACAAAATAATGTTTTCTTACACATTTTGTACTCGAGCATGCTGATAATCAGAAAGTATAGCACCTACTGATATCCCATCTACTTCTTCTTTTTCCTGAAAATAAAGAAAAAAAGAATTTAAAGGCTCCACATCATGCTTTGAAAATTATAAATAAATAGTATCACCTAGGAAACTACCTTTTTAAAAAATTTTATTAATTCTTTTATATATGACAGTGGAATACATTACAATTCATATTATACATATAGAGCACAATTTTTCACATCTCTGATTGTATACAAAGTATATTCACACCAATTCATGTCTTCATACATGTACTTTGGATAATGATGTCCATCCCATTCCACTATTATTTCTAACCCCATGCCTCCTCCCTTCCCCTCCCAACCCTCTGCCCCATCTAGAGTTCCTCTATTTCTCCCATGTTCCCCCTCCCTACCCCACTATGAATCAGCCTCCTTATATCAGAGAAAACATTCAGCATTTGTTTTTTTGAGATTGGCTAACTTCACTTAGCATTATCTCCCCTAACTAGGAAACCACGTTTGAAGAAGAGAAATTTCCTGAAAGTAAAATCCACATTCAGAAAAAAAAAAATGCATAGATATGTTTAAATCCACTTTGCTGCTATAGGAAAAATAATAAACTAGAGATCCCTTTCCATGGTAGAAAGTAAAAATTCAGAGAACACTTACAAAATATCTTTACACATATATTTAAAGTACTAATATTTGATAAAAACTTTTGAA